TTCTCCCCCCATCCCCCCCCTCTCACCCGCCACCTCTCCCTCCTCCATCACGGCGGCCATCACGGCCTCCCCCACGCTCCCATCCCCGCCGGCAGCGCCGTCGCTCAGCACCAAATCCTCGGGTCCGGCTTTGCTGCTGTGCCCGGTGCCGCCGCTCAGCGCTCCGTGCGTGCGCCGATGGTACAGAAATTTGGTCATGTTCACAAAAGCCTTCCCACACCCGCAGCGGTGCAGCGCCTCGGCCCCGTGCGTGCGCCGGTGCGCCAGCAGCACCGCCTCGGTGTCGAAAGCCAAACCGCAATCCAGGCACAAGAAGTGGGACTCGGCGCTGTGCCCGGCCAGGTGCTGCTCCAAAGCCGGCGGCGTCGGCAGCACCTTGCTGCACAGCGGGCACTGGAAGGCCCCCAAACGGTGGCAGCGGAGATGCCTCTGCAGGCGGCGCGGCGATGGGAAGAGCTGCTGGCACTCGGAGCAGCGCTGCTCGGCCGGCGGCCGGCGCCGGTTGTGGTCGTCACTGTCAGCACCGTCGGCTTTCACCTCGTAGCTGTGGTCGGACGGCGGCAGCGCCGGGAGGTGGCAGCCGGCCTGGTGCTCCAGCACGTCCTTGGGGCTGTGGAAGAGCTGCAGGCACTGGGCGCATTCGTAGAGCAGCAGCTGCACCCCGGCCGGCAGCTCCTCCTCCTCCTCCGGCTTGCGGTACGAGTGCTCCACGTCCACCCTGGCGTTAGGGATGCTGCTGCTGCTGCTGCTGGTGCTGCCGGTGCCGGCGGTACCGGCGGTGCCGTGGGCATCGCGGTGGCTCTGCCGGTGCGCCAACCAGGCGTCCTGGCTGCCAAACAGAGCCCCGCACTCCACGCACTCGTAGTGGATCTGGTTGGGGACGGCCAGGTGGGGTTTGGTGCCTCCCAGCACCGGCTGCTGCTGGGTTTTGGTGCTGGGCTCCAGGTGCAGCTCCTGGTGCTCCAACAGCTGCCCCGGGGACAGCAGCAGCTGCCCGCATTCCAAGCATTGGTAGTGGCTGCTCTCCGGGACGGCCAAAAGGTCCCCCCCCGGCAGCCCCAGCAGCTCCAGGCGGGTTTGGGGGGCTGCGGTTGTGCCCCCCACGGCCGTCAGGTGGCTCTGGTGGTGCAGCAGGGCGGCCTCCAGCGATGGGGACAGCTGGGAGCACTCGGAGCAGACGTAGCGAGGCTCCAACAGCAGCACCGCCTCCGCCGGGGGGGAAGCCATGGTGGGGAAGGGGGGGGTGGGGAGGGTAAGGGGAGGGGGGCTGAGGATTCGGGGAGGAAACGGGGTTATTTGGGGGGGTTGGGGGAGTTTAGGGGAGTGAAAACGGAGAAAAAGGGGTTATTTAGGGGGAGTTGGAAAAATTGGGCAGATGAACAGGGAGGAAAAAGGGTTATTTGGGGGGGTTAGAAGAGTTTGGGGGGAGTGAAAAGAGAGAAAAAGGGGTTATTGGGGGGAGTTGGAGAAATTAGGGAGAGGAAAACGGAGAAAAAGGATTTATTTAAGGGGGTTGGGGAGAATAAAGGAGGGAAAAAAGTTACGTGGGGGAACGTTGGGTTATTAGCAGGAAATAGAGAAGGTTTGGGGTGGGGAGAGAAAAAGTATTTGGGAAAAAAAAAGGGTTTTAAGAAGATTTAATGATTTATTTCCGGGAGTAAATACCTGTCCCCCTTCTTCCTGACCTCAAAAGCCATTTTAGGGCTCCCTCAGAACCTTTAAGCCCCCCCCAGACCCACAAGATCCCCTGCACACACATTTAGGGCCCCCCAGAGCCCTTAGGACCCTCTCAGACCCCAGAGCCCCCCCGTAAAAACCCTTCAAGAC